TTTCAGATTCTCATTTTCGATAATCAAATTATATCCAACTGGAGGTTTTGAATTTTTTTTATTGTCTATCGTCTCGTTTAAAGATAGAAAAACAGAGTTGTTTTTATCTGTTCAGCTGCCGGTCGTATAGAATCGTTTCGTACTCCAACGATTTGCTTTTGAACCCATTCGAATATTTTCTCTCCAAGAATATAATTCGCAGATTCTCTTCAACAAACATTTTCAATTTTGTTGAACGTATTCTATATACTCCACTCGGGAGTTTTATAGTGAATATCTCTTATTTCAATTACAGTGACCGGCACAAAATATTTATTCGTGAGTGGTCGAATGCTCTGATAAAGATATATTTTTTTCTCATCAATTAGTTCCGGCTGATCACTGATATTTTCATATACGGGGTATTATCAGAATACAATACTATTCGTACTTCATCGAATATCGTTTTGATATTTTAGAAAAATGTATTCAATTGATTGTTGAAATGTCGAATGCAAACAAAATAAAACAGTTTCAAGCTTTACAACAAATGTCCGTAGATCGCATGGGTGATTTAGTTGTAATAGCCGAAATGGCTCAAACTAATTCAGATTTACACAACCAATTCAAAGCTCGGTATTCTCATTGTGGGAGTATCTATGAAGAATTTGAAAAATATAATTCAACCCTCGTTCCACTTCTCATTTCGGCTGAAACTTATGACAACGAAGAAATGAAAAAGTTGTCAAAGAGTTTTTATCAGAANATCTCTGAAGGATGATCTTGCATGGCCAGCAAACCACAAAAAAATCAAGGTTTGATCAAAGGCAGATAATTTACCATTGCCCCCAGTTTGAAATTTGAAAAATTCACTGTTTTTTTGATGTGCAATATTCTGTGCAACTTGTCTGCCAACTCGAAAGTGCTCAACAAATTCCTAGTTATTGTACAGTGGTACAGTGACCGCGAGGTAGCCTTCATTTTTCGGTCTCTCATGGTGATGAAACAGCATTTCGACAAGTTCCTCATAATTGGATAATTCAGAATTATTTCCCCAATTTGATTCAGAGCTTGATGACTCTGATGACATTTCGGCTAATCCTACCTGCAATAATGGAGTTAAATAGTTGATGCTTGGTTGAAAATCACCAAACGATTTTCATTCAAAAACAGAAAATCATTTCACTTACCTGAATTTCCAAACGCAAATATGAAAAAATTGACAGTTTTGAGGATTGCCGTTCTATAAAAAACAAGATTTTTAAATCAAATATCAGGTCACTAAATATTTCTATTCTGGTTTCTCGTTTCTCTAGTACGTAACATAACCAACAAATCCACATTCCAAAATCATAACAAACGTGATATCGGATCACTCGATCACTCCAAATATTTGCGCATGTCACAAACTGAAAATCCTTACGAATTCCTCTGGGGCTCGATTTTTGACCCTTCTCTTTGATATTATCGTACGAGTTCGTAAGAGTGCAAGAATATTTTGAATTTTTGACCCTTCTTCATGAAAAGAATACTTGATATTGAGAATGACTGTACTTTGCGACCACAATTATATTGTCTTTATAGGAATAAACTATAATTCTAAATCTGATTTACTGTATTGTATAATTTCGATAAAAATGGACGAATTAGTTCAGTTGATATTACTGGAAAATTTCTAACATTTCGAAAATAAATCTATGTTGAATAACAGACCGAACCCAGAAGATCCATTCGCCTTGAGTGAACGTCAGTTTGTCAAACTGTTCAGACAAATGAAAAACTTGGTCATAATCTTGATAGATATCTTAACACCCATTATTAGAGGACCTAAACGACCCACAGACCTTCAAATCCAAACAAAGGTACCAAAAAGTTCGTGGTCGAAAGGGAAATATTCAAAATTTGTGGGAGAGATCCCGTAATTTCCACTTCTCTTGATCTCGATAATAGCTCAACTGTCAAAGTCTTAGGCTTGCAATGGAACTCCTCTGCTGACTGTTTTTCTTTCAGTATTTTTTCCCAAAATGTTCCATGCTCTAAAAGAAATATCCTTTCTGAACTCGCACGGATTTTTGATCCCCTTGGGTTTCTGAGCCCCCTCACTCTATCAGCTAAAAAAATTGATGCTCCTGCTTATTATGCTTTTGAGAGTTTCCAGCGAAGTTATTATGATAAAGATATGAGTGAACCTCTGATTGACATTGGACAATTTAGAGAGAATCCACTATTCATCATCGATTGTTCCAATCAACCGAATGCAACAAAATCATCCACTATTGATATAAAGATTGAGTTTGAGACGAGGAAGACCAAGTTTCCAGAAAACACTAAAGTATATGCATTAATTTTGCATGATAAAGCTTTAACATACAATGCATTGGATGGTTCAGTTCACAGCAGATATTGAAACTCTTTACATTATTGATACTATTTTATTTTTCCACTCTATCATGTACTGTTTTATAATATTCTTTTTTTAAATTTGTAACTGACTTATATCATGTATTGTAATTTTTCCTAATTCATGTATATCATATTCATTGTTTTGTAATCATTTTCAATTGTATATAATGGGATTTGAATAAATAAAACATGAAAATAATACAAAGTATTTTATTTGACATTATTTATGATTCATAGGAACATAGAGACTATCTAAAATAACTTCATCATTTTCGCGACCATCTTCAATTTCCTCTTGATTTTCATCATTAAATTCAAAGTGATGAATAATCCATTCTGGCAAGTATGGTTGGAGACTATACAGAAATCTTCCCAGGTTCAGTTCAGTCATAACCTCACAAAGTTGACACAATTCCAATTCATTATCCAAAAATTTGTTACAAACTTCTGCACCACTCCGATAATTCTCAGCATCACGAAGACATAATTCGATTTGTTTTTCATCATAGCATAGCATATCATAAATGCTTGCATGTTCGGCTCCATCACCCAACACCTTCAATTAAGACGACATATGTTGAACCGATGATTTGAGATCTACATCATCGATCCAATCTTGACTTGCATACTGCATCGACATCTTTGAATGGTGGAACTGAAATCGAATAAAAAAAAAACAATAAGCAACCTCCAACTTGTTTCCACGATATAATACTCACATTCCCATTTTACTTGTAGTTATAAAGTGAGTGTATTCAACTATGTTAGAAATGTTTATATTTCCATATAGTTATCATCTAAATCATCTAATATATGAATATTATTAAAACAAAAAGAAATTCACTATACATAATTACTATTATTATTCAATCATATTGAGTTTGACTAGAGATCGCGTTTTCATACCTGTAAAACTTTGTGGGCTTTGACCTAAATACACCATCGTATATTTACCATCCGATGCACCAGACACTTCGAAGTCACATCGCACTAAACAACAAAAAAGCAATTAATACGTCATAGTGGTGGGAGGCTTAGAACCGGCTCAAATCTCATACTGCCGGCATATTCTGGAATTGAAAATTCTCATCAGCAGGCTCCATGTAGCCAATTTTGATATCAAATTTATGTGGATCAAAGTTCACGCAGGCTTAATAGGTAACGATAAAGTTGATGAACTGACAAAGGTAGGCGTTAGAACAGGACAACGCATTGAAAATGAAAGTGGCGCTGAAGAATGATGTATAATCTTATCAAAGAGTAGGTTCAAGCAAAATTAGGCATGGAAAGAGTATTGTAAAAACTCTGCTACATATGTAAGAAACCACTATCGACAAGGGTGAAAAAAAACACGGTACCCGAAAAAACGCGGGGCCCGAGAGATTGGATGGGAATTAGTCAGTCAACTCGAGCGAGCCAGGCGCGAGCATCATTATGCATTTTAGTTATTTATATCCAGATCGGAAAACGGGTGATGGTTTATTCGTTAAGTTCAATTGTGAATTGATGTATCTCCACCCCCCGATATCATAGACCTCTGGTGTCGATTTAAAAAGGAACTCCCAATTCTCTCAAAAATAAATATTCCAAGACATTTGTCTCTGTCATCAATGACGTCATGTACCCTGCACGGTTTTAGTGATGCCAGTGAACATGGTTACGCTGCTGTTATATATTGTAGATCTGTCGCTTTCGATTGTATTAGAGTACAGCTAATTTGTGCCAAATCGAAAGTTTCTCCTTTGAAAACTCTATCCATTCCGAAACTCGAGCTATGTGCCGCTACCCTTTTATCTGATCTTTTTTCCTTCGTCTTGCCTATTTTTGAAAGGCATTTTCACATTGAAAAAATTCTCGCTTGGTCTAATTCCTTANGTAGAAGTTTATCACTTACCAACCAACCAACAAACATCCATTTTTATATATTAGATAAAAGCTTGTCACGAGATTTAAGCACTCGTTTCAACCTAGTTTTTTTTCTTAAAATCAATCAGATCAATCTGTAAGCCTTCTGTCTTTTTGTGTGCTTTGCCACCAAAGCACTACATTTGGAATTAGTAACCGACCTGTCATCTGAAACATTTTTGGCAGCTCTAAGACGATTCATTTCTCGATGCGGTAGAGTCTCAAAAATATACAGTGACGGTGTAGTACGGGTGGTAACTGTAAAAACCCCTCAAGGAGTGTTTAAGCGATCAGTGGTGAAGATTTGTCCTTTGCCACTATCCGAATCGTATTTTTTTTACAGTCCATTTATCAAATACAAAACAGACTTTGTTCTTTCTGTATTTTTTATCAGGAAACGGTTGATAGGTGAATCTAATCAGTTAATATATTCAAAACACACTTACAATTATTGAACTGAAAAACGGTTCTCCAACCACAGTTCTCAAGACATTCACGGAACTTTTGAATATCAACATAATTAAAACTACACATATATTCACTTCCACAGAAGTTGAAGAGTTTGCCAACACATATTTTAAAGCGAAAACTAAAAAATGTTCTAGTCGATCTGTGTCCTTATACAACAAAAGAATTTAGTATCAATTTAGCTTTAATTTAGTTACAACACATTTAATAGATTATCATATGGAATTTTAAGTTTGTATGTTTTTATGACTGATAATATTTGTAAATGTAAGACTTTTTAATGCTTTTATTGACTTGTCCTGTATTACATGTGATCTTATAGGATGAATAAATTATTATATTGTACGTAGAAGGAACATTTGTGATACCTGTTTCTGTTTTAGGTGTTTTGGAAATCCCTGCTTGAATGATGGAAAATGCCGCCCGTACTTAATAAACGAAACTGAACATAAGTTCAACTGTTCATGTCAGAATGGTTTTTATGGAGATACCTGTGAAAACATAACTACGATGTCATTCATTGGATCGTCCTCAGTTACTGTGAATACAACAAGAGAAGAAGGCTACGACATACAGTTTAGATTCAAAACGACACTCGGTGATGGTCTCTTGGCACTGGGCAAAGGACTAACTTATTATATTCTGGAACTATCTAAGGGACGACTCAATCTACACTCGAGCCTGTTAAATAAGTGGGAAGGCGTATTCATAGGCTCCAACTTGAACGATAGCAACTGGCAGAAAGTTTTTGTGGCAATAAACTCTTCTCATTTGGTTCTTTCTGCTAACGAGGAACAAACCATTTATCCAATCAGTTACAATGAAAATAATAACGTATCTTCTACAAGTTTTCCCGTGACATACATTGGTGGTATACCCAACAATCTCAAAAAATTGATTCATGAAAAATCTTTCTTTGTTGGGTGTACGGAAGACGTGTTGATCAATGGTGAATGGGTCTTTCCGCACATAAATAATGTCTCTTGGTTGAACTTCCAGAATGTAGACCTTGGTTGCGTGAGGGAACCCCAATGTGAACCTAATCGTTGCCACTCAAGAGGGCACTGTACGGATAGGTGAGTTGATTTGTGCATATCATAATAAAGTATAAGCATATTGAAGATAAATTAACTGAAGTGGGTCACAATATATTTTTGCGAGTGTCTTAAATTTGTCAAGACAAATCTAGAAATATATATTACATCTGCTATTCATTCACATCATACGGGTCATAAAAATGATTTGCATGTACAGTTCCTTCGGTTGGGAATTCTAGAAATTATGAGGATTACTTTGGTCTAATTCTTCATTTCATTTATTTATAAAAAAGAATCACCCACTCACCCATTTAAAATCAATTTGTCAATTTAAGTTTAAACACTTCACTTTGAACCAGTGTTTCTTTCTGTGGATGATTTTAACTTTGGACCACTCGATATGTTAGTGGGTCCAAACTTCCTCCTCTATTCCTGAATATTCTCTCCGACAGTCCTTTGGTATAAGAAAGAACCAGCACTAGTTGTAATCGTTTCTATTTCTATTCTATCAGATTTTCAGAATCATCATTCTGTTCAAAATCCTTTCAGATGTTGCCCAGTTCCTGGTTGAGACTTTCCTTCATGTTGCACAGACTGAATGTACAACCAATGAAGGTCGTTACAATTCTTCTCTGGTAAATCAGATACTACCCTCAGTGAGTTGGCAGAAGTTTTCACTTGTAGCCATTCCTCTTCACCATCAAGTCTAGAAGCAAAAGTTCATTTTGGGTTTTTTAATCTTCTCAGAATGTTATGAAAAATCTAATGCTGTTAAGGTTCTACTAGAAATCGTTCAGTTCCATGTCCCTATGGTTTCATATTATGAAGTTATCCTCAATGTATTTCAATCAGAAGACAAGACCAGTTATCTCCTGAAGACAATTGATGATACTTACAAGCAAAATGTATCTCCTTTTTTTTAATTTGTTTTCCGTACATTTTTTATTAACTCCTCCGAATATTTTGTTGTTAGTATTTTATTAATAGATCAACACTTTTTCATACAATGGAAGTCTGAACCTCTAACATTTGCCAATATGAAGTACTGAATCAATACCTTTACTTGGTACAGGTGGATCAACTTCAGTTGCACCTGTGAGCGTCCCTATTTAGGCCATACTTGCCAGTACAACTACACAGCAGCTACTTTCTGCCATGAAAACATCACCGATTCTCTTGTAACTGTTGACGTCTTTGATAATGCTGCAAAAGCTGTCAGAGCTATCGTAGATATAAGTATGTTCATCAGAACTAGACAGTCGAGAGGGCAGATTTTCTATCTTGGTTCTGGATTCTTGCAGAGTCCCATTGAAGAAACTTTCATAGCTGCACAACTTGAAGGCGGCGAACTTTTGGTCAGGATTCAATTGAATGGATCATTAGAAGGTTATACTGTTGGAGGGGTAAAACTTGATAATGGGTACAATCACTTGATTGCGGTAAGTACATTATATTTTTCTCAAATCAATATTTATTTCAATTGATTGGTCATATAGTAGAAACTTTTTTTTCATTGCACTCAAAGAAGTATAATTGATATATCAAATTGAATGTTTGTACTTGAATGACTTCAAAATTTTCAAAACAATAGATTAGCTATATTACAGATGAAAACTAGGCATATTGTATTTTGAATAATAATATATGTTAGTTATTTATAATGATAAAATGCTATGATTCATTTATATAAGGAACATTTGTTTTCTTTTACCTTTTTGCTAATAGAATTGATTTTCAATAAAATTTTGGTTTCTCCCACATAGGACTTGCCACAATGTATGTATAGAACATTTTTTCATAAGTTGTATTTTGGTGGCTTGGTATCTTCAATATTCCTGCTGTTTGGGTAAGACTCAATTTTATGATACTCCCAGTTTTTATGAAAAAAAGTAGGAAGGACTATTTGTATTTTATATATGTCTGAATATATTATTTTCAAAGATTATGTAGACGATTTCCATTTGAAAATACAAGTCTTTCAATTAAAATAAGATGTATTTATTTAACCAAATTCTTTGAAACATTCACCTTAATGAAACATCTAAGAATATCAGTCTGTCACTTGATCATTATGTAAAGATGTTGTTACCCCTCTTATGATAGCATTCTAGCAGTGTTCATTCCAAGTATGTAGTGTTTGATCTCTAATTCAAAATGGATTTTCAAAGTACAGTAGAACCCCGGTTATCTGAGGTAAATGGGGACCCATCTCGGATAAATGAAAACTTGAATAATCAGGATTTATTTATTATTCGCCCAATAAAACATCAATTATGTTCTTAGATATGTGGAATGTAGATAAGTACATTACAAAACAGTAAAATAACTATATTCACTTCTGTTTCATATTGCATCCTCTTTTTCTCGCTGCAATATTTTGCCATCTATTAAGAAGGAGTAGATCAGCAGGTGTTGCCTCTAGTTGCTGCTCAATATGAATTAAAGCCTTTTCTAAAGCAGCAAAACCTTCTTGATGGGATATTTTAGTGGCAGGCTCTTCATCTACCACTTCGTCATCGTCATTGACTTCTCCGGTTTCCTACAAGACATCCGTTATATCTAATGCTGGCATTACTTCAAACAAAAACTTTTCTATTTCCTTGATTTTCTCTGTCTCATTGACAGAACCAGGACTTTCACGGCTTTTCAATTTAGAAACCAAGCCATTCACTGGAATATCTTCTTCACTGTCATAAGTGTGTCGCAGAGTCAATAGTTGAATAGTGGAAGCGCGCACAGAATCCCAAGCTTGACTCACCCAGTACATAACATCGGTTAATCCGGAGCTCGGTTAAACGCGACTCGGATAAACGGGGTTCTACTGTCTTCAGCAAATTGATGTTTTCTGCTTTCACTTATTATAAAATGTTATTTTTCATTGCAGGTAACCCGTAATGTTACATTGGTACAGGTTAAACTAAATGGCACGGAATATTTCCGAAAAACAATATCAGCAGCAGGCCCTCTAGATGCTCAAGTTTTGTACTTGGGTGGTCAACCTCAATCAAGATCTGTGAGGCAAACTAATGAAAACTTGTCCAATCCCAAAATTGACTCAACTCCAACAGCTCCAGCATCGCTTACCTCTGCCGTTAGCAACATACATTTTAAAGGAATCATTCAAGATGTTCAAATAAGCACGACTTCTTTGACTATGATTGTGGAATTTTATCCTCTAGAAGCTGATGATTTAGGAATACCGAATGCGTTTGGGAATGTTTCTTTCGATAAGGCTTCTGTTCTTCAAGGTGTGCATTCTGATGACTCTTGCAGAGTTAACCCCTGCAACCATAATGGGATATGTGAAAACACTTTCAACGACTACAGGTAAGTTTAACTGTGGTTGACAATAATTCAACTAGATTCAGAATCAAATGGTCTAAAATGTATTGATAGATGTGAAACCTAGAGAAGATAAATAAATTAAATTAAGTATAAATAACAAAAATACTAGTACCAAAATATTCAGACGTAATGATAGTGAGCATAGTCTGTCTTATATTTCCAAACATTCAGAAATTGAATATTCGTAACTTTTCCTTATAATTACTTAGGATGTTAAATTTATTTTAATTTAAAGAAGAACGTGCTTATAACTTTTATTCCTCATTATATACAATATTCAGATAAAATTTGAAAATTCAACCTAATTTCTTTAAATTTGAATCACATCAAAGCACTTCATGATTGATTGACTATCCAAAATTGGGATCACACCATGTTGCTTCTATCTTAGTCATTCTTTTATTATACTCATATGGCATTCTTATAAACACGCCTTTCTTGGAATAGATACAGCAGTACAAACTTAAAATTTGGCATCATACGGTAATTGTAAACTATTATGTTTCTAATGAATCTCTTCATAGAAATATCAAAATTAATTGACTTCAATTTTATTCAATATTTAATAAGTCAGAGATAAAACATCCTCAGAATCATGACACTTTCTAACACAACAATGCAAAAAGTACAATGATAAAAAAGAATGACAGAGCTTAACCCAGTGTTGCCAAGCTGGTGAAGAATACAATTCCCAGAATTTTTTGTGAAGATTTTGAGCATTAACATTTGGGTCATTACTTCCATAATATAATTAATTTCTTTTGTTGAAGTATGCAAATGCAATAACAAAGAAAACTTGGGAAACAAATAGCAAACATTGTGACAAAGACAATCAAAAGTGACAAGTGGGGACTGGTGCAAAAAGTTTTATGGGGCCTTGTTGAAAGTAAACTTTTCTCCCTTCTCCAACCAACATCCACAAGCTATCATCCCTTCTTTCCACAATTTCTTACACAAATCTCATGAAAACGCTTATATCTATTATTATTATTATTATTATTATTAATGAGGATCATTGAATTAGTGTCATTAGATGAGTTTACAGTGTTACTCATTGTGTTAGTTTGTTATTGTTTTAATTCCTAATTCATAATAATAGTGGTTGGGACAGAAGCCGGTTGGGTTGGCGTGAGTGGTTTGTTCCACTCTTTCAATCGACAAGCAGGTGAATCGGTGGTTCGAGCCGCGAGGCCGGACCATCGATTTTCACTGCCTATGGTCCAAACCCTTCTAAATATCTCACGTATCTCGTTATTCCTTGGCTCGCATAAGTTTCTACTACTGAGGGTTGTCGTTCGTAGGGGACAGCTGGTTAATGGAAAACAGATTTCACAACTACTTCTTATGATATAATATTTATCTGGTTTCTACTTTTAATTATTACATAAAAGAATTATTAATTGGCTGTTGGAGTAGAAACTTTGTCCCAGTGCTGAGCGCAGTTCATAAATCTCATTTCACATTTTGTGATTTCTAAACTTCCAAAGGCATCTAAAAGCAATTCTGTTTCAGGCAAATTTGTGTGAGATGGATTTACATCAAAGTAAACTAAAATCTCACCATCTTGTGACCGTAAATCTTTCAATTTATATTATCATTCATAATTCGTCCACTCACCTATATCAGCATAAGGTAGCAGCTTTCAACAGTATGATCCACAGACTGATAAATGTATTCTTGTCAGAAGCGAATTTCAATAAAGAACTGAATATAATAAAGCAAATAGCCATCAACAATGATTATGATAGTGGTCTGATACATTCTTTATTATCAAAGAAGTTATACAGTCAAGCTTTGAAAGAAGTTTACTCAATTCGAAAAGAAGAGGATAAAAGTTATAGAACCTTAACATACTTAGGCCAACCCACTACAAATATTTCAGATTTTCTGCACAGCAAAGGTGTAAATACTGCTTTCAAAACCAACAACAACTTGGGCATGCACATTAAAAATAACAAAGATAAAAGTTCAGTTTCAGAAAAATCAGGAGTGTATAAATTATCGTTTGGGTCATGTCCGATGTTTTATATAGGTCAAACTGGAAGAACGTTCAAAACCCGCATAAAGGAACACAAATATAGTTTTCAGAACGGAAAAATAAATTCCATATATGCCAGTCATCTAATCTCAAAGGGACATGAGTTCAACCATGAATACAAACCCCTCCATTTCCAGAAGAAAGGTTTGAAACTTAACCTGTTGGAGAGTATGGAAATAAACAAATCCAAAAACTCTCATCATCTTATGAACGATTAAACTGAATTGAATAATTCGCCATTATAGAATCTGTTCATTCACAGGTAAAAATAGTTAGGTATATTTACAGGTTGACTTTCGAAAAATGTATTGATACCTGACTTTTTAGGTATATTTTTCCAGATAGATTTATTACTTAGGTAGACGAATAGGTACTAGGTTATAGTATATCAGGTTGTAATTTAGAAGTAACTCTCAGTTATGCTTGAAGAAGCTATTGTATAGCGAAACACGTGTCGCGGTTTTTGTAAAACCCTTATAGTGAAAATCATAGAATAAACTCTATTGATTAGTTTTTTGATCATTAATAATTGTTTATTATCTTAATTTTGTTCTCAGTACATCTGCACTCCTTTTGACCTGTCATAAATGTATTGGATGCGTAACATGATTAAATAAATTCTGTTTTTGATGTATTTCCGTCATTTCCCTAAAAAAAACAATCGAACATATAGATCTTTTGGAGATCAATGGGCTATGTGGGGAAGTAATTAAAGAGTCCATTGTCTCACACAAATTTGCAGAGAACCGAATTGCTCTCAGTTCATTAACTGTTTCAACAGAAAGAATGGGGGTAAGGTAATGAGAAACTTGTTACCTCCCTTTATGTCAAATCCTTTCGTGACAAGTTTTGAAATAGAAGCAAGAGAAAAATTATATTAGGACATATGAGTTAGGTAGAGGATTGCTTGTCTCATTCCACTAACAGATCCCCGAATATAAAGTTGATCCTGATTATGTTGCTTTTTTTCACATAACACAGAGCCTTGCCTCTTATTGGTCCTATAGCCTAGACTGCTTCATTCTTCAACAATAAGAACCATTCGAATATTGTTTTTAACCGAAAACTGTTAATCCAAAATCTCAATCTTAAAACATTACAGTGCAATTTTGGGATTGTATAGGGACGTAGCCTGGCCACGCCATCCTAAGGTTTATTCTGAGAACTTATTAGCAGTCAGGCCAAATCATTTTCTTATGTACTTGCAATATAATAAAGCACCTATTAGCCTTATATATAACTATGTTGACGAAATATGTTTCTCAGTTATCAGGTCCTGAATTAGTAAATTTATTCTCATTTTTAGGTGTATATGTCCTAGAGGATTCAAGGGCAAAGACTGTAATGAGTTGGAATTCTGTGAATTGGAAGGTTGTCCTGCAGGATCCGTTTGCAAAAATTTGGAAGATGGCTACGAGTGCCTAGCTAATAGCACTTTTAATGGACTACAACATCCTCTTAGATATCAATTAACCTTGAACCCCGCAACTTCAAACAAATTTGTGTTTGACTCCCTAAGACTGAGTTATCGTACACGTTCTTGGGGAACTGTCCTGTTTGCAAAATACATTGAGAAATACTTTGTTATATTCATTTATCATAATGAAGTAGTAGTCGAGTGGAATTTTTCTGGCCAGATAGTGACAAAGAGGTTCCGCAAGGATCGGTTTGAGGGTCAGTGGATATCTTTGTTGTTTGTTATCCAAGGTCAAAAACTTCGAGGTGGATTTAAGGAACGCCTTATAGATGAAGATAATGATTTCGAGGTGGAGGGTTTTGATGTAATAACTTTCACCGATATTTTCAAAGAAGGACAAATTTATGTCGCTGGTAGTGATAATACATTCAATTACCAAACAATAATTGAAAACACTGACTACAATCTGACAGGTTACATACCTGTTAGCGATACTACGACTGCTGAATCTTTAATGGGTAATTCTCTAGACAGCAGCGAATATTCAGAAGAAATCTTGTTGTATAAGGTTGATCAAAACAAGAAAACGGACAATTTCAAGGTAATAAAGTAAATTTATAATCGATTCGGTATTTCATTTTTTGTGATTTTTAGGGGTGTCTAGGAGAAATTCGAATAGGTAGTTTACTTTTACCCTATTTCACTACTAAAGAAATTTATCCAAATCAAACGTATGCTAAAGAAATCTTCGAACTGGATGCTGAAAGCAAAGTGGAACATGGTTGCATTCTGTGCTACATTAGTGATTGTTTTAACCAAGGATTCTGCATAAACAGTACTGAGACTTACAAGTGTAATTGCCCAGCTGGTTACACAGCAGATGATTGTTCGATTAACATAAATGAGTGTGAAAATAACCAGTGTCAAAACAATGCCACTTGTGTAGACTTGATCGATGAGTACAAATGTGAATGTTTATCCGGTTACGAGGGGGAGTACTGTGAAATTGATATTGATGAATGTTTAAGCAATCCGTGCAGACATGGGGGTACATGTAACGACCTTGTAGGTACTTTCAAATGTGACTGCCCAGAAGACTTTGTTGGTAAACAATGTGAAGCTCCTTTATTGATAACATGTGAGAATAGACCGTGTAGAGAGGGGGCTACTTGCAAAACTGGACATAATGAAATAACGCAAAATAATTTCACTTGTTTCTGCACTGAAGGAATGGAGGGACCACTGTGTGATACACCTTTCTGTTTAAGACAACATTGCGAGCATGGTTATTGTAATACGACGGGAAATGTACCATTCTGTGAATGCGAAAGGGGATTTGAAGGAGAGTTTTGCGAAATTAATACCAATGAGTGTGTTTCTCCTACTGGGGGTAGTCCTTGTCAGAATAATGGAGTGTGCATTGATGGTATCTCTAGATATGATTGCAACTGCACTGGAACAGGTGAGCAGATACAATGGATATTATGATTATAGATATCATTGTTTATAGTCCAAGATCCCAGAGCTGCCAGGCCTATGGCATTTTAATAAAGCTAATTTTAAAAAAATAAATGGTGTGATATATAGATTGACAGATATTTCTTTTCATTCAATACAAATTGTTCCATTTGTCGAAATGTATGCTATATTTGAAAGTGAAATTTTACTAATACACATAGATAAATACATACCAAATTACACAACATAAGACTTTTCCTTGTGACAACTAATAAAAAATGTAACTGTTGTGGGAAGGCATGCTTTATTGTGTTATGGTGCTCTTTCTTACTGTATGAGCATATAGCCTAACAATAATAATAATTTCTGGCAAGCCGCACTAAGGCAGAAATCTTAGATGGACAAATGCAGAAGGATGTCATTCTTGGCTCACTGCCAAGAATGAAACTTACCATATGGTGTGGGAAGTGGTCCAAATGTATCAGGACATCGAAGACAGGGCCCTAACATCGCAACCTTGGGAAAAAAATCAAAATGTATAGAAACAAAAAATAAAACTCAGTCAAAGGAGCTATCTAGATACAGATACTTCTGTACATTATAAAAAAAAATTTCAATAAAATAAAGCCCTTTGAATTATTACAAAATTATTGTCCGATTTGTTTGAAAAAAATTGGGCTATTCATCATTCAGCGTATTATGCCTATACTGGGGAGAGTTTTCAACCAATGCACCGTTAATGGGACAATTGTTTGTTTTCTTTTCTTTCTTCCAGTATCAAGTTGCATGGTCAGATATGTTGCTTGAACTTACATTATGTAATATTTTTGTAATCAGGATTTCAGAGTACAGTGATATTCTTATTGCAGGTTACAGTGGACTATTATGTGAAATAGATATCGATGAATGTAAGACTAACAGGATGGCATGTGGCAGAGCAGGTACTTGTGAGAATATGCCAGGAACATATCGCTGCATTTGCGACTCCATTAAAGGAAAGTGCGGACATCAGTGTGATTTAGATGATCCTTGTGAAAAAAATCCTTGTGTTCATGGCACTTGTCAATCCCAGTGTAGACATAAGTCTGATTATATTTGTATCTGTGATGAAAATTATGTGGGAAAGAACTGCGCAGAACTACCCCAGGTAAGATAATTGCAAATTATAAATGTGAAGTAACAATATTTCGTGGATATATTTACTGAATCTTCTTGTGTTAACATATTACTTAATGAACTTTTCATCTAAAACTGAATAAGGTTTGATCAACAAACTTGATTGCAATATCTTTTTTACAAATCTAAATTTTTGAATGAAAAACAAATTAATTCCAATCATTAAAGCTCTAATTGGACTATTTTCAAGTAATAAGCACAGCTTCACAGCCCCGGTTTTATATAACGGTAACCTTTTTGCCCTGACCTCAAGGGGGTGTAGAATATCCCCTACATCTACAATTTTCTTCAGTTGAAAATTCACATGACAAATGTAATCATTACAAAAAGAAAGTATCAACAGGAAATTGAAAAAAATCAAATGTGGATGGAATAAAATTCCCTTCTCATGAGCCTGAAAGTACACATATGATCATTATCATTAGGTAATTTGTATAATTATTATAACTATTATTATATCTAATAACTTTCAGTTACATCCCTTACTTGCAACGAAACATGAACTACATGAAAATAGAAATGGAGTAATTGAATGCACTGCCAGGTGCAAAATAACATAGACATAACTCTGTCAACCATTGACGATTTTTTGGTCACAATTTGAAAAAATAGACATATTTATTTATTTTATTTTCACATTCTGCCTACATAAAAGCCCAGTGGATTGGTCGCATCAATTTTTTTTCTTGAAAAAAATAAAATTATTTAGATATATTTTTATAGAATGGTCATGCAACTGAAATACCATAAAACATATAAAAATTATAAGTAAAAACTCAGAGACTGCTAGATTGCAGAGACTGCTAAATTAAATTACTCATAAATATTATAGCAGTTTTTTTTTCTATGAGAAAAATTTTCAGCCCTGATTCAAATATGTTGAGATTTGATACATTTTTTATTGAAATATCTAATTTGTTGAATAGTTTTGGTCCTAGATATGGGTACTCTTTTGGTGAAAGGTAGTTTGGTGTGACAGTTTCTATAAGACTAGTGCCATTCCAACTGTGAAACTGTTCTTATTTCCTATTTTTGCAAAATTAAGACTCAATAGAACTCATGCCACAGCCACAGGATTAATATTAATAAAGTAAAGTGAAGTATATATTGTTTCTCAAATAGATCATACACAGTATGATATCGAACAAGTTTTGACGAAAAAATCAATCAGTTAGAATATATAAAAAATAAAATAAAACAATAACCATACAACAAGTGAATAAAATAAACTTTGGGTATTAGGTTCACATCTCAAAGTACAAAAAACAGCCTCAATTAGCATACATTCACAATTAATGAAAGTAGAACAAATTAGAAAGGAAGATATTCAATTTCATTCAGACTGAAACTTGCAGAGAAATATTCATCAATAGTGTAGAAGGCTTCATATAACAATAATTTTTTACAGCTCTTTTATCTTTAATTTATTAGTCCTTAGAAATACATTGAAAGGTGAAATACAAATTGAATATAATTTGACTAATTGGTTAAACCATCAATTGAAATTGTATAAACAATAAGTAAAATTAATGAGGTCAATATCTCTAAGAGTTTTATATACAAAGTCATGAGGTTACCGTGAAGGTATCTCTATCTTCTTGAACAATATACAAGAAAATTGATTTCTTCAACATGTTTTTGAATCCACTGAATGGCAAGTTATGAAACTCAACATGTAATGTTTTGTGAAGCCTTATTTGTCCTCTTTATCCTATTAGCAGTAGGATTAGAACTGCTGGGTTTTTCAGCGTGTCACTCACGCTTTTTCTATCAACACGCAGTTGTAGACTTTCTGTTAGCGTCCGTAGAATATTGGGTCACGAAAAACATTCTTTATATTTCTTTGATTGAAGTAATGAGTCTATTTATAAGAAATGGATATTTTTCAGGAGGCGTTGGGCCAGTCTGAAGGAGGTATCAACATTCTGTACATAATAATACCCATCGTTTTGGCCCTTGTCATTGGGTTTGCTATTGGAATGGCAGTTTTAGTGAACGTAGCACGCAGTAAGAGAGCAACAAGGGGCACCTACAGTCCAAGTGCTCAGGAATTTTGTAATCCTCGTGTAGAACTTGATCACGTTCTCAAACCACCACCCGAGGAAAGGCTGATATAGTTTAGAGCATTTTTATTTATTCTTCTATGGTTTTTGTACTTAATTACTTTTTGTTCAAATTATTTTTGATCTATTTTCATTAGGTATTTTGAATTTAAATATTTTATGATTCTAAAATGGAAGTCGTCAGGAGTCAATTTATGCGAGTTTTTCATGTAGTTGCTTTCATTAAGAATGTAAATATCAGGAGCAAAATCTCATTCGAAATTGAGGGTAAAAGTTTTTCATGTCTTAGAATGACTTCAGGAAATAGCAAATATGTTTTGGGGATTTTGTAGCCCATTTTTTGCAAATTCTAACTACACATTGTGATCAGCGTTACAAATGTTGAAATATTAACACGTGACAGCCCTGTCATATTTAAATATTTTTTAAACAGATTTGTTCAGTATTCTTTCAATTATCTTATTAGTAATTGATGGGGAAAATGTCAGTCATATCAATAGCTTTCTGATGTTGCTTACTAAAAATAATTTATTGATTCTTGATGACATTTTCAAATAATTTTACCAAATTTTTCAGTCATTGTGATTTTACAAAATCTTTGTATAATTTGTGGTACCTACATATTTATGTTAATAATCGATTTTTTTCCTGGAATTGTTATACTCACTATTTTACTATGTAATTAATTATTTAGTTGCTAGTTAGTAATTTATTTTTTCACTAAGCAATACATTTCGAACAAATCTTATGAAGACCGTCCATGAAGTGGAAATGTGATAGAAATATTTTTTTAAATTGTGGTGTACACTATTCGAATTTTTGTAATTTAATTTGAGCTAAACCAAAGTAATTGATTGTATGTATATATTTTATTATCTACTCATATTTTATACTCCGACCAATAAATAATATTAAGGATGTATTAAAGAGAAAATACCAACAGAAAATGTATCTATTTTCTTATTTCTATCAAAATTCGTATGTAGTTTGTTTATTTGAATGTGACATTGTTTCTTGTTGACTATTAGAGGCTAAGACTTTGATTGGTTGATTGCTCAAAAAAGTGTATATATTTATTCAGAAACAAACATAGCCTAGCGACATGTTTCTCAGTAATTTCAAGTATAATTCCTTATATATGCATAATTATATTACAAACAACAATATTCCGTTCCACTGTTAGGTCATTTCTATTCAATGTTAAAGGCTAAGGATTATAATTGCAAAATAAGAACAAAATATTACTTGAATAATTGAGAAAAGGTTTCTTCATACTCAACACCATCAACAAGAATACATAACTTGTATAAACTTAGACTTGAGATTTGAAAGCAATACATCAAAAATTACAAATCTGAGATACTGTGAATATTTAAAGTTGCTCGATAGGAGATATATATTGGTTGGTGAGAAAATTAATCTTTCTTGGATGAAAACTCACTGGTGGAACATAAAGATTCATCTGAATGGTTAGAAAAATATTATCTACTTGACCATTCAGAATTTTGACTAAAATAAGGAAATTCTTCACAGTCCTTTTATTTTTTTAATTTTACATATGAAATTTATTTCAAATGGTTCCACATAAAATATAACCTGACAATTTGCTGAATTTTTTGTTGTACAAGTATTTCAATCATTAATTTTTTGCATTTCCATATAACTCGGGCATATTCTAACTTACTAAACAATATATATTCAATAAAGTAATCCAAACAAAGATAGATGCGTGATCAAGGCATGATCACCGTACACATTTGCATCTATTGAGCCCCTTACGCTGGCCAATCAGATTTAACTGCAATCTGCTGGCGGAATTCATTGTTAGTGTCAGAGTGGTCAGTTAAGTTTTAACACCTGTAGTGTGTACATATACGGTATTTTGAAGTTTAAAATTTTTAAAAAGTACTGATACAGCTTAAGAAACTACTCATTTGTGTCCCTACACTTCACTTAAAAAAAGATTATATACCCATTCACATATTGTTGAAAAAAATTAAATACAATTTTGGTCGTTCCGCAGTGCGACTCTGTACAAGCAGGCTTGTCTGAGAGATCATGTGCACTATGCATGATAATATTTTGAATCACTCTGTTGTTTAGATGCACAGAGTATACATATACCATATCCGCATATTCCTCAGGTTTGGGAGCCATCTCAAATGTTGAAAGCAGAGATTGAAGAAACTAGACACACATGCTAGTGCAACATCAGGAAGAAATCCCATTACACGACAGCCCTTAAACCCAAAATACGGATATTGTAGACTATAGCCGCTAAAGCTTAATATTTAATACTTATGATTCTCTTGAATAAGTATTCTATGTTATTAAGTCGGTGAGTTTGTAGGTGGAAAACATAACTCTTAGGGCACTAATACAGAAACAACAACATATACACAGCAAATCAGTCGAACCAGATATCCAGTTCAGCGAAAGAATCATTAACTTGACCAAATTAGAGTTAAACAAAGAGGAAATTTCAGCAATGTCTAAAGGGCCGACATATACACCAACAATAATTAATAAAAACAGTTTGGATACGTTGATAACAGATACAGTTATTGCATTGAAACAGACAGATAATAGAGATATAGGGGCATACAAGATCAATGAAGTAATTCAGAACCATCCATCGTCTTTATCAAACAGTAGAGAAACAGGCATAATAAAAACTATACAACAAAAAATAAGAAAAAACGATCATGTTTTCACAAAAGTTGATAAATCGAATGCCATCGTTATCCTTGAACGAGAAACATATGTGCAGAACATTGAATCAATCATTCAAAATGAAAACCTTACTGTCATCAAGAAAGACCCAACCAAAAACTAGTCAAAATGAATTGAAAAATTTCCTCTCAGTTACTAAAATCATTTTCACGGAATCAGAGAAACGGAGAATCACCAACATGAACCCCTCTTGCCCTAAACTATAATGAAAACACATAAGAGGATAACCCCATAAGATCGGTAGTTTCGTATATAAATAGTCCGGTAAGAGAACCTCACAACATTAAAAATTCACTGACTTTAGTAGAATACATAAGGAACCAAACCACGCCACATGATTCAATTTTACTGTCATATCGTACGAGTGTAAGCCTCTCATTTTAGACATATTAGATCAAGCCAAAGTAGACCATATCACTTCCTTTGAAGTTTCAACAGCTTTCAATGTGTGCCTGAATCAGAGCTACCTACAGTTCAGCAACAAATGTTATAAACAAGATTCAGGTTTACCAATGGTTTCAGAAAACCTAGCTATACAGACATTACCATCCCAAGCAATTCTTTCCGTACAGACAGTCATAAATTAGCAGCCTTCACAGGTTGCACAGAGCATTCTCACTGCCTTTATCTGCTAACAATCAAGCTAGGGAAATTGATATAATCACACAGATAGATAATAATAATGGTTTCAACGCAGATACTATCCAGTCAGAAAACAAAGCCGTAAATTCATTTACAGATTAATATACCCTCAGGTCAAACAACCAGAAATCAAGAAATGGGTAACCATAACATATTTTGGAAAAAGAACAGAGATAATTGCGGGTTTCTTCAGAAAAAACAATGTGGAAGTGGCATTTAGACCACATGCCAGGTTATCTGATTTCCTTTTCCATGCCAAAGATAAGGTGGACAAGTTGAAGAAATCTGGAGTTTATAAACTCGTGTCCGGAGTGTAATAGTGTCTATGTGGGACAATGTGGTCGAAATTTCCAAAAACGGTATGCTGAACATGAAAGGTCCTTCAGACTAAGTAAAAATTATTCGACATTTTCAAACCCTTCCTTGGCATGCAACCACAAGTTTCCGAATCTAAACGATATGGAAATTTTGCACTATGCAAGGAAGGGTTACAAACTCAATTATTTAGAATCCTTGGAAATTCACAAGCATAAACAGTGCGGGTGCAACCTGTTAAATGATCAAATTGATTTAGTTTACTCACCGGTTTTCAAATTGGCATATCCGCATTGTGAATTCAGGTACTCAATCAAGCCAAGTACCTCTATTATTACCTATAGGGGTGGTATATAAGTTCCAATGTAATGAACCATTATTGGTTTAATGTATTAGTTTGAAAATGTCCTTATAGGACGAAACTGCAGTAAAACGTTAGTTACAAATAAAAGTGGTAAAAAACAGAAAGTTTCAATTCTCTTTTCTTTATTATGATTTCCTACCACATCGTAGTACACCGCTACATCCATCAATTCACATAACTTTTCATTAGCTTCCTAAATAATATTTCAAATTTGCTGGTTGAATTTTGAGACACTTTGGAAAGGACACCAAAGTCGTGGATTTCGTGAGATCTTTATAAACGTGTATTTCTGCATTTTATAAATAAAGTAGTTAGGACACTCCTTTCTGGTAAAAGTAAGTGTTTACATGTAATTTTTTTTCAAACACTTTATTCAATTCATAAAAGTAGTACAATAATAGTAGTAGAACTCAACTATATTATCACAGTGTGATAATTTATCAAAAGAAATCAATTTTATGCGAAAAATCAACAATATTACCAGTCTGTATCATATTCCATCTACTTCTTCGAAGTGTATCTATAAAATCAGTCAAATCTTTGAAACTATCTAAATTGTTATACAGTAAAACACTGTATATCCAAAGCCAAACATTTGTATCTTTTTCCCTTTTGAAGGAAGTTTGAAATATCTCTCTTGGATCACCAATATCATTACACAGGCGAAACTTTTTTTTATATGCTTATACCATAGATCGTTCTTCTTTTTAACCTACAAAAGGTGTCCACCACTCGTTGAAATGAAAAACACGGAAGTTACCATTATTTTTTCTTGATTGCATTTCAACATGCACTGTACTATACATAGGTATAATGGCTGTGCATGATTAAATAACATTTGTATTGAATACTTTCATTGTAAAAAGTACGTTATAAAGTTGTAACTACGTATGACAGAAATGTATTTCATACAAATCACAGTTGTCTCCCGCTAGTGAGTGTAAAAATATCTTTATAACTCCTAAATATATTCCCTATCACGTAATAGCAACCATTATTTTTTATAACTTTCATTAAAATATTCAAAATGCCATAGAGATAAAGTTTTCTGAGCAGAATCTCATGATTAACTGCTTCTACGATTTCCCGTCTATTAATGGTAATATACACATCATATAAAACATTAAACAAAACAGTACTTTGTTAAGCACAAAAAAGCAACTTTGCCTGAATTTAAGCTTTGGCGTTTCTCATACAATTTAGGAGACAAGACAAGCTGTAGGTGAATAGACTGCATGCTTATGGGAAGATTGGTATATACAACCATTATGGGGGAAACAGTCGTGGCACGGGTAGCAAGGGGCTGTCCTCAGGGGGGGGGTTCTATCCCCTCTGTTATGGAACCTTGTAATGGACGAGCTAGTATGTCTCTTGGACCATAATGGGTATAAAGCACTGGGCTATGCAGACGACTTAGTCATCTTAGTCCGGGGTAGATACAATAATGTAGTGAAGGGATGCATGCAGCAGGCCCTGAACATTATAACAAGATGGACCGAAGAAGAAGTGCTTAACATAAGCCCATCCAAGTAGCATTCACCAAGAGGACCAAAACGGATGGTCTCGGACCTCTAAAACTTCGAGATGAAGAAATACAAGTGTCGGGGGAGGTTAAATATCTGGGAGTAATTCTAGATTCCAAACTGATCTGGAACCAACACTTGGATAAGATGAAGAGGAAAGCGGAGGTAGCACCGATGCTCGCCAGACGCACCTATGGAAAAACATGGGGGCTAAAACCAGACGTGGTATATTGGCTGACACGATGGTGGTTAAACCCATGATAACATACGCATCTCTGGTCTGGTAGCCAAAGATGAAGCAGGCGACCGCCATCAACAAACTAGGCAAGGTGCAAAGACTTGCATGTTTGGGAATGACGGGAGCAATGAGA